GACAAGCCGAGAGACATTACTCGTAGGGATCGACGGCATTGGGGCAATTTTCCAGTATCTCTGTCTATGGAAGAAGAAGAGGAAATAGAGATAGCAGCCTATTTCTCCCTATGGCTTTGTTGCTTCGTTCTTCCATCTGGAGACGAAAGTATAAAAGTCGGGACTTTTAAAGCATCTTCTAGGATGCAAGCGGATACACTGATAGTCTGGTTCCACCCATATTAGCGAGCATTTATAGTGGACTTACACGAACATCTAACTATCAGGCAAATCCAGACCTTGGCTCAATTTCACATTCATTTCCTGGACATTTTCTTTATGCTTGGGCAGCAACTTATTTTGTCCGATGTATTTATGCTCATGTAGACAAGAGTTATTCTCGCCCTATAATTCGAAGATATACTGGAACTCTGAATGCTTTTCAATCTTGGGAGAAAAATGTCATTGATTGTCGGGAATTTATCTGTGGAGCGATGAACACCGATAACTTTTGCTGGAATCCATTACCCTCATCGTCTCATCCTGATGTACGTGTGGATGACCAACTGAGGTCTGCAGATACTTCAGAATTCATGATGAGTATTCGATATGGGTTTGTCTCTTATCGTCGAGGAAATTCACCTTTCATTCTTGAGGCGTATAATCTTCACAGGTTTGTGAGACAGTTTGACTTTAGACAGAAACTTTTCGGTTCACCAAGAAAGTTGAATATTGTCCCCAGTGTAGGTGACATGTATCGGGTTTGGTTGTCCCTAACTCGGATAAAAAGTGGGTCTGTATTGATGTTGAATACCAGGCTTGGTGGAATAGCAAAGCGTTACCACTCTTGACCAAGGTCCAGATGCAAGTCTTATTTTCGAGTGAGAGCCGTGACTTTGTTTTTGGCTCGACTCCGAACAGGATTTTAGCTAGAGGGTTAAACCCTCCAAATGCTGCTCTTGAAGAGGCTTCTCGAAAGAGAGATCTAAACCAGCAAAATGAAAGAGGTATTAAGAGAATCAAAATTATAGTTCCATCGGCAAAGGTTGCTGCCACCTCTAAGCCTGCTGATAAGGTGCCAGAAGCAATTTTGATTCCAGATCATAGTAGTCCTGGAGATCGAGCATCACAAGCACCAGGAAAGACTGTGTCTCCAGAAGATGGAAGTTCTGGAGATCAGGTATAGTTCTCCCTTTTCTTTTTTATTTTATTTTATGTACTGTTTGTATCTGATTTTCTGTCACAATCTTCAATTTCAGGCTCCTCTTTCTCGAATACACAAAATCAAACGACCAATAGAACTGAGGCTGCTTCAAGCTATTCCGAGTCTTTCAAAAGGTGAAGTTGGAGCTTCTCACATTAACCTTAGCCTCCCGAACACATCATCAGACGGTGGATTTTTAGACATGTCGCCCAGGACACGAAATGCAGGTATGTGACCTGTTGTTGTTTGCTGTACTTTTTCCCTTTTTTTTTTTTTTGAAACCATGCTCTATTTCTTGCAGGTTTTCCCAGCATCTCTGAAGAACTAAATTTCTCCATGAATCCAAACTTTTTGCAAGATCAGACTGGCGAGAATGACGGGCGAATCGATGCACTTCAAGGAATAGATAGTATTAATGATTCTCATGACCTTCTTTGCAAATATCCAGGCACCATCAATGGAGTCACTTTGGTGCATATCATGGACAATTTTAATGCTGAAGATGAAGTAAATTCAGGGACTGTGAGAGCTAACATTCCAGAGGTCAATCAAGGAGTTCCTGTCGTTCCATCTTCGTTGGCTTTAGTCAGTATTCCGCCTTCACAAACAAATAATTATCGGGCTGCACCAATCTGTTCTTTCATGTCTGGTCCTCCACCTGGAATTACCCAAGAGTATCCTTATCTGAAGGCTGCTCTGCAAGAAATTATGAATAATTACCTCCAGAAATGTTTTAAGGATGTCTTAAAGTATGGATTCTCCAATATTCGATCTTGGTGGGATGAAAATAATTTAATTCTTCAGAATGTGATTACCAACTCATTCCACGCAGACCCAGCACCTTTGATGAAACACATGGATGTGTTTCTGAAAAAAATTGGCTCTTGTCTGAAAGGAAGCAGCAATTGGATTGTCCAACCGTTGAAGAAAAGGCGGAGGAGTTGAAACTTTTGAACATTCAACTGGAAGTAAAGGATTCCACGTGTTCTTTGTTGAGAGGCAAAATTAGTGAGCTAACCTTTGAGCTAGATAGACTTCGTGATGAATTTCAAGCCCAAGAGGAAGACAAAAGTATGATTGGAACCAAGAAGGCAGCATTGGAAGAAGCACAGACAAGAGATGTCGTTCGCATAGCATCCATTGACCAGAAAAGGAAGACCCTTGAAGATAGTTTCTTGCGAGTGATCAATGGCGAGTGATTCTGATGAAGTCATGAATTTCTGATCTTTTTTTTTTTAAGACCTTATTGTTTGAATTTTGACTTACTATTTTTATTTGGATGAACTTTTCTTTTTCATGTTTCTTGTGCTTTTTACAGCAATTGATAAACAAATTGAATGAATTTATTAGTTGTGATTGAATTTGAATTTATAATTTATTCAAGCTGCCTACGTACCCAAACGGGATCAAGTCGAACGTAGTTCATTACAAGAACACAATTTTTTTTACAATGAAAAATTTAAAAAATAAAGAATTTCAGGCGTAAAAACGCTTTAAAATTTTTTCATTGATAGGTCCGATTTGCAATCCGTCTTTGTGGACGATCTTGTACGCTCCGTTAGTGAATGCATGAGTAACAAGAAATGGATCATCCCATTTAGGTTGGAACTTGCCCCCTATTTTTCTTGTGATTATGATTGGCCTATGCACGGAAAGTACCAGATCTCCAATTTGAAATGATCTTGGTTGCACCTTTTTGTTGAAAGACTTGGCCATTCGAGCTTGATAGCACTCTAGATGCATTTGTGCTTCTAACCTCTTCTCATCCAAAGCTTCTAGCTCTTCCAATCGAAGGCGGGCATTTTCTTCAGTTGTCAAACATTCCTGGATAGCAATTCGAAGCGACGAAATTTGACACTCCAGGGGAAGGACAGCTTCTACCCCATATACTAAGGAATAAGGAGTGGCTTGTGTTGGAGTCCGATAAGTAGTTCGATAAGCCCATAAGACTTCACCGATTTTCTCATGCCAATCTCTTTTTGATTTGGAGACAACCTTTTTCAGCAGACTGCATAGTATTTTGTTGAATGCCTCTGCCAATCCGTTAGCTGCCGCATTGTACATGGACGAGTTGTACTGTTTGAATCCAAACTTTGCACATAAATTGTTTATGTGGCTATTGCAAAATTGCTTGCCAGTATCAGTTATGATATTTTGCGGGACACCATATCGATAAATGATTTGGATACGAATGAAATCTGCGACATTTTCTTTCTTTACTTCCTTCAATGGTATGGCTTCGGCCCACTTAGAGAAGTAGTCTGTCCTGGCAAGGATGTATGCATGCCCTGCTGAAGACTTTGGAGTTATAGGTCCAATTACATCAAGACCCCATGCATCAAACGGCCATGAAGCTATTGTTGGATGTAATGGTTTCGGAGGTTGATGGATAAAATTTGCATGGATTTGGCAAGCTTCACATTTTCTTGCATAATCCATGGAGTCTTGTACCATAGTTGGCCAGTAATATCCCATCCTCTTTATTCGAAAATGGAGTTTAGGTCTAGACTGGTGGGCACCACAAATTCCATAGGGGCTTCTTCCATGACCTGCGTTGCTTCATCATTACTTAGGCATCGAAGGAAAACTCCATCAAATGATCGTCGATAAAGTGTTCCCTTATAAAAGATAAAGCGAGAGGAACACCTCTTGATTTCTGTTCTTCGCCTTGGATTATCTGGTAGCTTTTGATGTTGAAGGAAATCGATTATTGGTTGTCTCCAATCTTCTCTTTCCTCATCTTCGACTACTTCGACACTATTGTTTTCTTCCAAATTACTGGGTAGCAGTGATGGAAGCACCCATCTTTGAGCAATTGATATGGAGTGGGAAAATTCTTCATCTGATCTAGCTAAAACAGCAGCCAAATTAGCTAAGGCATCGGCTTCCTTATTTTCACTTCTCGGGACGAATTTGATTTTTATTGAATCAAATCGTCTCATAAGCATTGCTGCATGTTCATGATATGGTTTCAAGTCTGAATTACGGACTTCATATTCAGCTAAAAGTTGGTTGATTATCAATTTAGAGTCTCCAAAGACTTCCAGCTGATGAATATCCATATCTAAAGTTGTCTCTAAGCCGATGATAAGAGCTTGATATTCTGCCACATTATTCGAACATTTCTCTGTTAAGGCAAATGAGCAGGGCATGACGAGATCATGAGGAGTGATAAAGACCACTCTTGCTCCGGCACCATAACTTCGGGCTGCCCCGTCGAAGTATAGCCTCCATGATGGTATGATTTCGGTCAATAGAACTTCTTCATCGAGAAGGTCTTTCTGAAGTTCCCATTCCGTTGGAATTGGGTGGTCAGCAAGGAAATCCGTCAAAGCTTGTCCTTTAATGGCCTTTTGTGGAATGAATTTGATGTCGAACGCAGACAACAATAATGCCCATTTTCCAATCCTTCCAGAAAGAATCGGTCTGAACATTATGTACTTCAATGGATCAATCTTTGAAACAAGATTGATTGTGTGTGATAACATATAATGCCTCAACTTTTTAGCTGCAAAGATTAACGCGAGGCACATTTTTTCAATAGGCGAATACTTCATTTCAGCGCCTACCAGTGTCCGGCTCAAGTAATAGAGTGCATTCTCTTTTCCTTCTTCGTTAACTTGGGCAAGAAGTGCCCCTAGAGAATATTCTCGTGCTGCAACATAAAGAGTCAGCGACTTCCCTGGAACTGGAGCTTTGAGTACTGGTGGACGAGACAAATATTGTTTAATGCTTTGGAAAGTATTTTGACAAGCTTCATCCCATTCGAATGGTACATCTTTCTTCATCAATTTGTTGAATGGATGACAACGTCCGGCTAGATTAGAGATAAATCTTCGAATGTATGCAAGTTTTCCTTGAAAACTTTCAACTCACGTACATTTCTTGGCTCTGGCATGTTGATTATAGCTTCAATTTTTGATTGATCTATTTCAATGCCCCGATGTCGAACAACAAAGCCGAGAAATTTTTCAGAGGTGACGCCAAATGCATATTTCAACGGATTCATCTTTAATTGATGTCTTCGAAGTTTTTTGAAAATATCACGTAAATCTTGTAAATGATCGTCGGGTCTTTTTGTTTTAACAACAAGATCATCCACATAACATTCAACGTTCTTATGTAGAATATCATCGAAAATCTTTTGCATTGCCCGCTGGTAGGTTGCCCCCGCATTTTTTAATCCAAAAGGCATAACTTTGTATCAATATATGCCTTTTGGGGTACGAAATGATGTGAGTTCCTCGTCTTTTGGGTTCATCCGTATCTGATTGTATCCAAAAAAATCCGTCCATGAAAGATAAGACTTCATATCCGGTAGTTGCATCCACCATCAACTCTGTTATTGGAAGTTGAAAATCATCTTTCGGACACGCTTGATTCAGATTCCGAAAGTCAACGCAAATTCGTAATTGCCCGTTCTTCTTTATTACAGGAACAATGTTTGCGATCCATGTTGGATATTTCACTTCGCGTAAAAATCCAGCTTCAATAAGTTTGTTGACTTCCGTTTCAATTTGAGGAATCAGTTCTGGTCGAAATCTTCTTTGAGGTTGTTTGACGGGTCGAACTCCATGTCTTATTGCAAGATGATGCACTGCAACCTTAGGATTTAACCCCGGCATTTCTTTGTAAGACCATGAAAACACGTCTTTGTATTCGTGAAGCAAACTAATGTACTCAGATTCTTCCTTTTGATTGAGAAGGGCACTTACAAATACTGGTCTCGGGTCTTCTTCGGTCCCCAGGTTCAATTGTTTCAAGTCATCCACAGTAGCTTGTCCACCTTCCTCAAAAGTATGTGGGGCTGGTTCAAGTTCATCAATTGCGATAGAATTTTCGGACTTGGAGTCTGAATCGGGAGCTTCTTCAAAGGCTATGTGATTGATAGAGACTTCTTCTTTTTCTTCACTTTTCTTTTGGAACGGACGAACTTTTTGCTGTCTTCGTCTTCTTCTTGAACGTTGTGGCTTTAGGCTTGGATCAGAAGTTTTAATCCCAAGTCGAGAAAATGTGGATTGTCTTTGGGATGACATTTGGGAAGCTTGTGCATTCCTATCAATTTGGGTAGAAGAAGAAGAATCTTCGCTTAATCTTTAGAAGACGGAAACTTTACCTTTTACATCGACTATTGGGGAGGGTTCTCCTTTTAACCTTTTAAACACCGAAACTCTGGCATTCTCATTTTCAATTCGATCGAACACTGAAGGTTTCGGCTATTCAAATTTCTCTTCTGTAACTTCATAAATTTGAATCATGATGGGGTTTGAGGAAACCTTCTCGACCTTAATCTTTCTTGGTGGATTGGGATCATATCCCAAACCATAACTGGGTCGGGACACCAAGGCTCTATCAGAATTAGAAGGGGGATGCCCTCCTGAAAGGACAGCATCAAGATCACCTAATTTACGAGGCTCTCCTTTTCCAAACCCAGTATTTTCAAACGACTTTTTAACTTGAGGATTGTAACATTCTTTGAAAGTTTGTTTTGATTTAGCAGCTCCTTCTTGTTTGGATGAGCTGGAAATACAGAGTTTTGATATGTCCGGAACAGATATTGTAGCCTATGATGTAGATTTATGTCCTTTCGGGCCCGCCATAAGTTGGTGGGGCAGAAGCAATTTTGGGATACTAGGTATTGGAAGAGTTAACTCTTTTCTCAATACCTCAACATCGGTTGATTCTACTTAAGGTTCTTTGCCTTTAGAGAATTTGTTGGATGTAAATTTTGACATATCTTTGATAAGTTGATGAGACTGAGCAGTACTAGATGTATCATGATCGTTTGTATCTTCTTTGATTTTGAATCCAAACATGGTCAATCCTGAAGAATTACATTCTTCACTTTCCATGTAAAACTTGGCATCGGCAAAATGAGATTCTTCTTCGAGAAAATGTTTGGACTCAGCTACCACACATTTGACTTCTCCGTCTCGACTATATTTGAAGCATTGGTGCCAAGTCGAAGGTACCACTCCAGTTTCGTGTAGCCAAACACGTCCAAGGAGTAACTCGTATGATGTTTTAGCATCAATGACATGGAAAAGAGCCGAGGAGATTAACTCTCCTATTTGCAGCTTTAGGCGAATCATACCAATGGCTCGCTGACCTTTTTGATTGAATCCTTGAATCATGATTTTGCTTCTGGATAGATTACCAACATTGATTCCAATTTTCTTCATTATTTTGACCGGCATAATATTTACAGCAGATCCACAATCGATCATTATACGATTTATCTTGCACTCTCGAATATAACAGCTGACATACAGTGGTCTATTATGTGGACGTGAACCCAGTTGTAAATCTCCATCGTCGAATGTTATGGCGGCCATACAGTCTTGAGGAGTTGTGGCTCCGATATGTTCTAAAGCTTTGCCTTCATATTCTTCTGGATCGATTAATGCTGCGACCAAGGCCATCCGATCATCAAAGGGAAGGGCAAGAGACTCTGTTAGACTTGTATTGGCAGAAATATTATTGAGTCGTGAAATAGTTTTCTTCTGTTTTGAACTTTGCCTTGATACGTTCTTCATTTCATCTTTTTCCTCCACATTGATTACGTTGGAGGTGAGACATTCTTTATCAAAGAAACCCTTAGGAAAGTAATCACCCAAGGTCGGTAGTCTAGGAAGAACGCATGTAGCCGCTCCCTCTTCGGTTGATTTAGTAGATACTCTTGGCTTGGCTTCAGGCCTCCTTCTTTGATTGTTCCTTGGTCTTGATTTCTTGTCACAGAAGTTAGAAACTGGGAGTCGTGGGGCCTTCCGACGACGTCTTTTCACTAGGTTCCATGTCCCCTGATCTTCTTCTAGTATTTTTTCTTTATTGGGTTGAATTTTCATATCCAATTCCTCCAGCTTTATTTCTGCAAGAGGTGTAGAAGGTAATATTTTACCTATTTTGTTTGACATTCTGTATTTCTCTTTCTTCTTTATGAAGGTAGACCAGCCGTCGTCGATCTCTTCTTCTAATTCTGAGTCGAAATCCCAAACATCCAAGTCTCCTGTCATAATTTCATAAAAGGTTGGATGATTGGGTGCGCTTGGTCCATTCATCCTTGGATAGATATAACTGATGGTGATTTCTCTGTCTACCTCAAATTTCACTGGGATGGCCCCTTCCGGGAGTTGAGGTCCAAATTCCTCAACGGAGGATTTATAGGCATCGTGTACATCAGAGAATGTTTGTTTCTTTCCTGGAATGGGAATTAGATCAAATGATCCAAATGACACCATCGAGCATGTGGCTGTTGGATTCTCTCCGGTCTCAAGTTTGATCTTACTTTCTTTGTCCAAGCGAACAATAAGATCTTTCAAAACAAAGTATTTTTCCACTGGATGGCTAATGATCCTGTGAAATTTACAGTATTTAGGATGTTCAATCTTACCAGCCTCCTCAGGTCTTTTTGGCACTGGAAGTTCGATTATTTTCTGTTCAAGGAGCTGATCTAGAATTCCAGAAACTTCTGAATCTGAGAATGGGTACTCCTTTCCTTCAAGTTCCTTTAGAGTCACATGACTTCTGCTTTGGACTTGTCCTTTGTTAGTTCTGAACTCTAGCTTCGGTTTTGAGTTTGAGCTCGACCCTTGGAAGGCTATCTTTGCAGGAGCAGTAGGAATCGCCATAGCCTCTTTGGATTTACTTATCTCGATGTCCTTCTTTATATCCTCCTTAGGATCTTTCTTGTTACTTGGTAAATAACTCCCACGCCTTGCAATTTGGAGCTCCAGGTCATGAGCACGTGTCGTCAATTCTTCGAATGAGTGAGGCATGTTTGCTTGGAGATTATAGAGTAATCCCCAATGCATGCCTTGTACACACATGTCGATGGAAGATGCTTCACTTATTCGTTCTTTACAATTAAGCACAAGGTTTCTCTAGCGTTCAATGTACTCTACTACAGGCTCTTCCTTACTCTGCTTTGTTCGAGCAAGTTCTGGAAGGCTGACAGTTCGTCGGGTGCTGTAGAAGCGTGTTAAGAACTCTCGCTCGAGTTGATCCCAACTATCAATTGACCCTGCCGATAAGTCTGTGTACCATTCAAATGCAGAACCTTTGAGGGAGCGTACGAACTGCTTCACCATTTTGTCATTGTAAGTACCTGTAGTGTTACACGTCTCAATAAAATGAGCAACATATTGCTTTGGGTTGCCCTTTCCGTCAAAACATTGAAACTTCGGAGGTTGGTAACCAAGTGGCATCCTTATTTCGTTGATTCGACGACTATAGGGTTTGGCATACACTAATGAAGATTGCAACAAACCACCATATTGGGCACGTATGGTGTCCGCAATCATATGTTGAAGTTGTTGGACGGACGGAGAGCCAATGGAGAGTTGAGTGGCGTCACACAACACATTTTGAACAATTGTTCGATCATGTATATCTTGCTTTTGCTGATGTTCTTGGACTTCTAACTCTTTGGCTTTGGAAGATCCTAACTTTTCCCGATCTTCTTTAAGCGGTGGATTTTGCGACTCTAGTTTATGCATGAGTGCAGTAATTTGGGCATCTTTTTCTTCTAACGACTTTGTTAATTTTTCAATAGCTAAAGTCATTTGTTGGATTCGATCATCTGAGCCCGATGCCGCTTCTGTAACCATCACTAGCTCAAGTGATTCTTCAGATGAAGTATCATCTTCCCACTTTTGCTGAGAAGTAGCATGAGGGGATCCAGATAAGGATCTACCACTAGAGATGGATCCGAACGAGAGTTTTTCGTCGAACTCATGGTTTTTTGTGTCGAATGAGAGTTTGGCTTTCTGAAGGCAATTTTCATTCTGTTTTTGTTGAAGAATTTCTTTAGTGGTGTGACCAGTTGAGTTTTCCCAGTTTTTGTTTGGGCCCTGGTCGCGTGGAAGAGTTCAGCAAGTGTCTCTTCGAGATGAGTCATAGTTTGTTTCGTCTTTTCTCCTGCCATTGCTGATATAGTATTTGAAACTTGAAGATTTTGAGATCAAAAGATGAGAGGACAAGAAGGTCCCACCGGGCGTGCCAAGAAATTTGTACGACGAAATTTCGTATATTAAAATACAGAAATCGTTACAAATTGTATTTTGATAAATACAAGTGATGTTGACCTTCTTGTAATTGCAAAATTCTCTGATTAATGATCTGACTATTTAAAGAGGAGGGGCCACGTGGCTTAAATCCTGATCTTCAATAATTTGTTGAAAATTTGATTTATCGAGACTTGACTTGTTTGGAACTTGAATCTTGAGACTTGGATTTGGACTTGAATTTGATTTAACTTGAAGAACACTTTGATCTTCTTGGACTTGGCGTGAACTTGTTTGATTCGAAGAAGATTTTAATCTTCTTGGGGTTCACCGAGATAAGGTTTGACAGAATTTCTTCCCTTCTTTCAGCCTTGAGATTTCTTCAGCACTTCATGGCGTTCTCTACTTTCTTTTCTGGCTTGCTTTTTGTGTCTCATGTGTCCCTATCTTATGGACCATTAGTCCTATTTATAGGGAAAATTTTGGGACCAATTTTGGTAACCATTCAATTATCTCTAATTAAGAGATATAATTGAGTAATTTATGATTTTATTTATTTATTTATTTTAAAATGTGGTATGGACCTTCTTGTTTTATGGGCTTTAGAAGACTTTAATAAATTTAATTGGGTTGATTGTTTAAATCGACCCAATTCATTTTATTTATTTTATTTTTTTATGTCTACATATACGTTTATAAATAAAGTTTAATTAATATATGATAGGTCTTGTTTGATTACCATTTTTTTTAAATATATTTTTCTCTCTTCTTTTGAACCACATATTTTTTAATAAAATAATATTATATGCAAACTCGTAAAAATCACATATTTTTTATTAAATCACTATTCCAAAATGCACCCCCTTCTCCAAAAAATAGGCATCTAAATCGTCATATGGGGGCAATCTAGCAGCTTATTACTTCAGAATATCAGAGCCCCCAGGGCACATCTTCAAGTATTAAAAGGGGAGGGTGGAGAAATCCAGCTTTGCTTGAGGCTGCTGCGTCAAGGGTTCGAATCTTGAAATATGGATTTGGTTCTTGGGTAAGTGCAAGTGTACAAGCAGCCTTCCGCCCTGTACCCTTGGAGGCATAATTTGTGATTTACCTCCCTCACGATACTTCAGGACAGGAATGGTGGGCACCCGTTTAACCTTTATTACTTTAGAATATCAGACATTCGTTCGATTTTTTATTTTTCTTTCAGTTAATTCGATTTAAAGAGTGGAATTCTCTTGGGAAAATTGCAGGGATGGCTCCCGATAAGAAACCCAAGAAAGATGATTCTAAAAAATTCAAGAAAATGAAGAACAAAAACAAGAAGAAGAAGAAGAAGAGCAAGACTGTAAGCACAGTTCCCATAGATAACAGAGCAATTGATTCTGAATGGTGGGATGTTTTTTGGCATAAGAACTCTACCACACTAGGTGACCCTTTCCTTCTCTTCTGCGTTTATTTTTCTAATTATTTTTTTATGGAAATATAGAAATTTTGTAAATTGGTATTGTGGGTATTCGTGCGTGTTGTGTGTGTTTCCCCTTTTCTTGGTTCTTAAAGATTGTATTCTGGGGTGCATTTTTCAGCAAGGGACTGCAATTTAATCTTTTTACTGTTTATTTTCTTGATCTTTGTGTACTGTTTCTTATTTCTTTTTATTTGCACATTTATAGTTTGATTCTTGATAACTATGCAAAAAATTTTGGCTTATGGTTGAATCTGTCATTCCTCTTATAAATTATTTATTAGTTGATTGTATATTTAGGGAATAGATAGATATATGCAGTTCAGATTGGCAAGATATCCGAAGCATTTCTCTGAAAATTTAGTTAGTTGTTGATCTTTCGCAACTTTTTAATTCGTATTATCTATCATTGCAAATTTGTGACAGTTGATTTCTCCATTAAACTGTGTCTTTGTTAACTTATTTTGTACTTTGCAGGTTCAAACGAACTATACGACGAGGAAGATGGATTCAAATATTTCTTTCGGATATCAAAGAAAACTTTTGAGTACATCTGTTCTCTTGTTAGAGAAGATCTTATTTCCAGACCACCTTCGGGTCTCATCAATATTGAAGGAAGGCTCCTCAGTGTCGAGAAGCAAGTTGCTATTGCGTTGAGAAGATTGGCTTCTGGCGAATCCCAAGTTTCTGTTGGAGCTTCCTTTGGAGTAGGACAGTCCACTGTTTCTCAGGTCACTTGGAGATTTATCGAGGCCATGGAAGAACGGGCAAAGCACCATCTTAAATGGCCTGATTCTAATAAAATGGATGAAATCAAATCTACATTTGAAGCATTATCGGGATTACCTAATTGTTGTGGAGCAATAGATGCTACACACGTCATTATGACGCTTCCTGCTGTTGAAACTTCAGATGATTGGTGTGATCAAGAAAACAATTACAGCATGTTCGTCCAAGGAGTTGTCGATAACAAGATGCGATTTCTGGATATCGTGACAGGTTGGCCGGGGGGCATGCCTATTTCCCGACTACTAAAGTGTTCGGGATTTTACAAACTTTGTGAAAGTGGCGAACGGTTAAATGGAAAGGTCAGGATGTCGTCTAAGGAAGAGGAGATTCGAGAATATATAGTGGGTGGTGCTAGTTACCCTCTTCTTCCATGGCTTATAACTCCATACGAAGATAATGATCTTGAAATTCCTATGTTAGAACTCAATCAAATGCTTGAAGCTGCCCGAGCTGCTGCTGTTAAGGCGTTTTCACAACTGAAAGGTGGTTGGAGAATCCTAAGTAAGGTTATGTGGAGGCCCGATAAGCGGAAACTACCTAGTATTATCTTGGTCTGTTGTTTGCTTCATAATATTATAATCGACTGTGGAGACAGTTTGCATCCAGATGTTGTCTTGTCTGGACATCACGACTCTGATTATCTAGGCCAGAGCAGTAAGCATGTCGATCCAATAGGCAGAACTACTAGAGAAAACATAACTAAACACTTGCAGCATTGCAAAAAGAAGGCGTCGTGTGTTCATACCGTCTAGTGCCTTTGCCAAGCCAACATCATTGTACTCGTCATGGCTTCGTTTTTTGTCCAAGCTTGGTTGAATGAGTAATGTCGTCATTTTTTTGCTCATCTTATAGCATTATCATGGTTATAATACCTTTGGTTTTTGTAAGAGTACATCTGTTTATCTATGAGGACAATGCCTGTAATGGTATCAGACATAAGCTCGGGATTGTTTAAATTAGATTAGAGTGACTATGATTCCCATGCTTTTATTTGAAAGCCCTAGCCATTGAAGAATCCTCAGGAAGATAGGAGTATTAAACTCCCCCGGATGAGAAAGATACAAAGCCTGTTTACTCTGGTGCTTGCTTGATGGGAGAAATGGGTTGGGAACCTACCGTACCCACCTTGTCAGAAAAGTTCCTCGCTCCTCGATTATCATATCGGCCCAAATCCCCAAATAGAGACTGTTCGTTTCTATGAAATAAGAAGCGAGATAACCTGACATCTAGGGCGATTGATGGATTCCCCTCTGAAGGGTAAGTGATAAAGTTAGTTCCTTGACTAAATTCTCTATTCAATTTATCCCTTTGATTGCTTAGTATCTCCTCGTTGCCGCAATCTACGACTATTTTCTTTGATGAAGAAAGCAAAGGGGTTTTACTGAATGTGTATATAACAAGTAAATAGTAGTTGTGGATTAGTGAATAAAAAGTATGTTTAACCAAATTAATTATTCTGCCGAACATGCACAAAATTTGTTCGTCTAGTGTTTGGTCTCCGACTAAAAACTATAATTTTGTAACGCATTTATTTTCATCCTATGTGACTAACGGTATATCAAGTACATGTCAAGATTTTCAAAAGTAATGTCAAAAAAATATTAGCTTCAACGTTGGATCTACTTATAAACTTTGAAAGGACAGTAAAAAATGGTTGAATTTATAAAGAATAGCATAATCAATCCATTTTCTAGAGATTAATGGATGGAAAATTGTAGGGGATTTAGTTATATGGGACAGTTTTATTCTCTGTTTTCTGACACAGCTAGATTTGCCAATGTAGACAGATCATAGTTTAAAATTATTCGAGATGTCAAGTATTAAACATTTACAAGGCCTAAAGATACATAAAATCTTTAACAAGGCAGAACACAGAGATATGAATAATATCTATAGGAAAATACGTATAAAGAAAGAAACTGTGCTAATGAAGAAAATAGCTCTTCTAACACGCAGACGTTACGTTGAAACCTCAATCTTCAGTCGTCGAAGGTTGTACACATGAACAAAAATGTGATATCTTTCGCCCGCTTCTTGTTCTTCCCACACCATAGAGATAATCCCGCAAAACTATTCTTCGTTTTGTTTCAGATGTCGGAGTTTTTCCCTTATTGTCCTTCTCATCAAGTTTTAGCAAAACAAACTGTAACTTCTGTACCTCCAACTGCAACCTCCCAATTTTTTCAGAAATTCTTCGTGCCTGCTCAGGAATTCTCCTTCTTTTGACATTTCCATCATCTTCTGAGTCGAATGAGGACTTCATATCTGGGACAGAATTGTTTTCGATACTTTTTATCAATTTTCCATTGAGATCATTCAACTTCATGATGGCCATGTCAGCTTCTTCGAGCTGTCCCTTAAGCGTCTCACATTCAGAAACATCTTTTCCCCTTTTTCCCTTCTCAGTAACTTCGAGTTTCCTCTTCAAGTCTTGAACTGTAATTTGAAGATTAGCCAATTTCTGAATGTCTGAATTCAGCCTTTCCAATACCTTGCCCTTGTTCCCTTCTTGAAAGGGGTCAGTAAATCTTTTTGAAATCTCCGACTTTTCGACACTCAACTCCTCCTCAGTCAGCCCATCTGAAACAAGATGCTCGTCGTTCTGTTTCCTCACAGATTTAACGGGATGGAAATCATGATTTCTATCAGTGGTGGGTGAAATTGTTTGATTATCAGGTTCGGCCTGTTCTCTCCTTATTCCATAAGATGAACTTTCGGATATCTGATCAAGCATGATGTCTTTTGTCAGAAGTGCATTGTCTACCTCCGAAATTTCAGTTGAGGAATTCAAATTTCTCCTATATTGACTACTTTCGGATTTTAACTCCTCGACTTGCCTAGTTGCAGCCTCCAGTTTCGCATGGAGATCAACGTTTTCTTGAACCCTCAGTTGATATATTTCAACTGCTGCCTTTTCAATAGCTTGAATCCTCGCCCGCAGATTATGCAAGCCTGAAAAGGTGTTGGGCATCATGGGTTTTTCACTCTCAATCAGATGGTTTCCAATGAGATTATTCCTCTCTCGAGAACCCTACAAACAACCAAATACGAGAAGAATCCAGCAATTAGTATAAGAAATACGTGTGGAAAATGCAACCAAGTTTGATACATATAGATTCTAGCCATGTAAACCTGGAGATAATCCTAGGAAATGAAGGGAAACTACATTTTGCGACCATTGCCACACCATAATCTCATGAAAAGTTCAATACTGAAATTTGCGAACCAGATCATACAAGTTCTTGAAAATATCAGACCTAACTGGGGTCATATGATGACTAACAACTAGTCACAAGAGAATTTGAAACTTAGAAAAATAAATAAAAATGCAAATGTGCTATATTTCTCACGTGTTCACTCCGAAATGTCGTAACAGCAAACTACAGCACATAATTTTTCCACTATACTCTGGAAACCACCTCATGTTTAAATCCTAAAATCTACACGAGACTCCAACCAAAAGCATGTGCTATATATTCAACTATTCGACTATATTAGGACAAAAAGATGAAGATCTCAAAAACTTATGTCTCCAGTTAGCTGTGCTAGATCTGACTAGTATGACCAAACATTTTAACGCCAGGGCAACGTATTTTCTTTGTTAAAGAAGAACCATGTATTCTAGATTGGTCTGGCAGTAATTTGAAGGGGACAGAAATAAAGAATTAAAGATTGAATTACTGACAGACCCCTGCATTCAAACTTCAGAAATGTCTTCATATCACTCATGCGGTGTCCCACACTTACCAACACATGCACTCCTTGGACAATTTTTTTGTGAAGGAAAGCTAAAAATGGGCTTCAAAAGTTCAAGTTAAAATGAAATTCATTAAATTATTCAGATCAGATCTAATTAAAATCAAGCAATGAATGTTGAAGAGTATTATATTTCTGTAATTTGATGTTATTTTATCTGTTACTCTTATATGCTTAAACTTGATTACTTCTAAAATTTCATCACATGTAAGTAGTTTATAATCTAAATTATAACACGATTATTTTTATGTTCTTTAATAGCCATTTCTTAGATGTGCATTGTCCTAATTTTTCAAAATATTCCCAATACCGTGTTACGTCATGCACGTGTCTCTGCAAACTACTAATTCACAACTTTTTTGGTCAGCGTGTATGTGTACTTACTAAGATGTGGATGTATATGTTTTAAGATAAGCCTAATTATTTGAAGCATTAACAAACTATAGTGTTTCACATTCCGAAAACAAACTCCTGTCAGATTACACATCTATGTGGAATAATAAACAATACCTCCATTTTGTCATCTTCAGAATCTTGAAGCTCGACAGGTAAACTGATATTCTTCTCCAGAGATGATATACATTCCTCCAAGGAAATTACTGCAGGGCCATATGCAGCCAATTGAGTTTTGAGACATTCATTTTCATTTGTAGAGTCAACAAAAGCTTTACAGATCTCATGAAACTTCTGCTCATAAAGAAGCTGACTGACTATGGACATCTGTAATTGATTAAACAGAGATGCAGCCTGTGTCTCCCACATATCAATCTCATTCATTTTCTTTTGCAGCTCAGAATGCAAATTTTCTTCTTGGGCTTTGCTCTTTTCATGCTCTCCGAGCAAGTTGTGCAGATTAAGTTCCAATACCTGACTTGCTTCACACAGGCGATTATTTTCCATATTTAAGTGGTCACTATCTGCAGATAGTTTGAGAATCTGATTTTCTTGACTTTTTCTGATCATCTGAAGTTCGTTGGACTCCACACTCAGACCATCCATAATTTTAATCAACTCAAAATTCTTATTTTCCAGTAGATTTACCTTTTGTTCTGCTTCCTGAAGTTCCAGTTCCTTCTGATGTAATATGTTCTTTCCATTTTCAATCAGGTTAGTCAGATTATCTTTGTCGATAGAGAAAATCCTCAACTCCTCCTCTGACTTCAGTAATCCTTCCTTGACATGGGCATTTTCCATTTGCAATGTTTCCACCCTCCCTTCTGCTAAGCTTAAATTTCCCATAAGAGCGCCATTGACATCATGAAGTTTATTTAGATCAGAACCAAGTCGTCTTAATAGAACAAGTTTCTCGTCAATACAGTTTCTGAAAATGAAGGAAAGAGTATCTAGAGTCAACATTTCACCATACAAAACAAAATTTTCCTCTTGTAAGATATGTTTATTTCGTTCCAAGAGTAGGAGCTCATCTGTCAACGATATTTTCTCTTCACGAAGGTCCAAATTCTCTCCATGTAACACCCGATAAGCATCTTGCATGTTCATTAACTTCCTGTGTAGATCCTCTATCTGAGTCATTAGTGCTTCCTCTTTGCAATCCCCTTCCCTTAATTTGGACAATAATTCTTTATTCGTCTCATGGAGTTCGAGGATCTTGCTCTGCAACATCAAGAACTGCTCAGTCTTGATCTTGAACTCGTGCTCAACGGTGTTCTTTTCTAGCTCGAGATTCTGTGCCTCTAGTCTTAGTTGCCCAATCAACGTGACAAGAACTGACAATTCAACTGTTTGCTGCAGATTTTCTATCTCAGATTGGTGGAGGGATTTCTTCATATCTAGAACTTTACTCAACAATTGGTTGAGATAGATATGGTCTTGCCCATTTTGATCATTGCATGAGTGATCTTGAACAATGTGGAGTGCCTTCAACACCTCATAAGTTCCCTCCCTCAGACTAGTAGCTTGATTAAATAAGGATTTGATTTCAACTTTTTGCTCAACAATATTTAGTTCTAACTCTGAAATCAACTTTTCTGACAAACTGGATTCCTCTAAGAGTTTCTGATGCTTAATCAGCAAGGAGCAGCTATTTTCTTCGAGATCTTCGATAATCTTATGCAAGACAAATGTTTCAATATCAGAATTTGAAGTATTATCCAGCACTTTTTCAAGTTCTCTCTTTCTCTGTTCCTGCAAAAGCTCCATCTCAGCTTGGATGTCAGTGAATCTTTGCTCATTCATTTGTACAAAATTGGCATGTTTTTGCCTTTCTACATCCA